AACAAAAGTGTTCACATATAAAATGCCCCCAAATGTCTTTTAAAACTACTGTGTGGTACTCATTTTTTCTATTTTATTAATAACTTTTACTTCTGTCTTGCTGGTTATAGTTGATACTTCACACACAATATTTTCACATTGTTCTTGAAAACTGAAAAAGACCTGATCCAATTATGGTTGTCATTTTTCTGCACTTTTAACTAAAATTTTGCCTTTATTTGTATTTCTATTATAGTCATATACTTCCCTTCACTAACTTTTCTGCTGGCCTCACTGGCTTTGCAAATGCAATGAGGAATAAAGGTTAAAATTAAGTATAGAAGACCTTAAAAACTAAGCAAATGCAACAAACATTGGTCGACTAAAACCAATGTGAGAGTTAATACTGAAATACTTTGCGTTGGTAGCCAACCCAGTGGATCTTGTTTGAGAATTTAACTCATATTTAGTAGTCAAAATTTTTAAGCTGAAGCCTGTAAATACAGGCTATACTGTTATCCAAAGTAGACAGGGGTAACAGTGCCCATAGAGGTTCTTACTATTGCTAGTTGTAACTAAAAGACGTGCCAGACTTACTAGGGAGTGACTTATATTTAAGAATTCCTTCAACAAAAAGACAAACTGAGCAAGACACAGTGGTGTACACATGTAGTTTCAGTTTCTTGGGAGGCTGGAGCAGGAAGATCACTTGAGCTCAGTTCAAGGTCAGCATGACCTTGCCCCCAAAGAAAAAAAAATTAATATAAACAAACAAAACAAAAATGGAAGTTCTAATTTCTAATGGAGGTACTGGAAATATAACCTGGGGAATATTTTTGACATGTTTGCATTATAAAAAATGACAATATTAGAAGGTATTGTTAATTTCCTTGGATTTAAAGGGGTTATAGGAGTCAACAGCAGCTGGCACTATTAAGTGAAATGAGCAAACCAAGCAGGAAATCTCTTTTTCAATAAGTTTGGTTTATACTAGGAAATACTTCTTTGTTAATGGCAGAAGTAGTGGTGAAAGAAATTCATTTACTTAGTAAATTGGAAATGAGTTAGTGAAAATCAGTTATGCATCTGTTTTGCATTTTATTTAAATGTTTTAAAAATGTAGAACTCTTACAATTGCCAAAATTTTCAAGGATGATACACGGATAGTGATGAAAAGCAATGTGAGTTGGCTTTGTACTTTCTAGATATAATAAACATAATAAATACTGGATTTTTAGCATATGTATAAATTAGCTTAAGTCACCTATAATTGGAAAGTCATCCTTTTTTTACACAAGTCACCACTAGCTAGGCAGCCATATGCCTTGCTCTGTAATACTTCTGTTCAAGCAGAAACCAGTATCCCTTGTGGCAGGAGTGGCTTATTGCCCACTTGTTCTATTCTGTCCTATAATATTTGCGTTTTCTGTTTCCAGGGACTTAATTCCTTTTACATTAACAGATATTTAATGAGCACCTACTGTGTATAAAACACTGTTGGAATCTACAGGGACACAGAGGGGAAGCAGACATATTCCCATATTCCCTTGTTTTTAGCAAGGCCCAGAGAAGGACCTTCTGTCTTTGTTCCTCTCATGAGGTATTATCACCAATGGACTATAAGCAGAAGTGATGTGGACAATTTTCACATAACTTCCAGAAAAAGAAATATTTGCTCGTCAATTCTTTCTCTCCCTTCTTGTGTATGGGAACATGGATGGGATAAGCAGTTAGCTTTGGCCATGAAATGAGAACCAGTTACATGGGAAAGGAAGATTCACAAAAGGGAAGGAACTTGAATTCCTAGATAACCTTGCAGAGGAGAATCCCCTACTCACTCTGGGCTGTCTACCACTTGGGAGAAATGTTGATTTTCTTTAAAAAGGCACTATATTTGAGAGCCTTTATTTTGACAGCAATTTACCTAGAATTCTAACTAATAAAAGATGTTTATGTTCAGTGAGAAATCCATTTTTCTTTTCAGTTCGAAGTTGTATCCAGTTTTTTTGAGGGAGAACAAAGGTGGAATAACAGGACAAATTTTTAAGGTGTGGGGGTAAAGTCAATATTGCACTATGGGATTTTAGAAGTTTGATTTCCTCACTGAAAGAAGCTAGCATTTTCTGTTTCCAGGGACTTAATTCCTTTTACATTAACAGATATTTAATGAGTATCTACTGCATGTAAGACACTGTAGGAATCTATAAGGACACAAAGGGGAAGCAGACATGTTCCCTACACTCAAGGAGCTGACAATCTACTGGAGAAGATAGCACAAACCCACAAACAAAAGTGCTGGAAGATAGAATGCATATACTAATAAACTACAAGGGGGGTTCTCTGGAGAATTGAGCTGCAAGAAGTGACTTCCATAGGGACAGGGGAGGAAAGACCTCAGAAAGACTTTATAGGAAAGATGGCATTTGAGCTACATGTTGAAGGATTGGTGGAAGACAGAGCGTTTTGGGGCTCCGATTTCTGAAGCAATGGGAACAAATGATAACCCAGAAAGTACAGGTAATATTCAGAATTTTCTGAAATATGAGGTGGATGAGAAGAAAAGGTGAGAAATAATTGTGCAGAGACATTTTGAGGCCACATTGTGAAGGGGTCTTGAGCGTTATAGTAGAAATCTTTATTTTTTACTGCTGGAGAAAGAATAGATTTTGAGTGTTGAAATTTTGCAATTTAAAATTAGCAGTATACTTTTTAGTTTGTATCAGAGTCTCCAGCAGGGCTTGTTAAAACAGATATCAATACGCTTTATTAAGAGTTTTTGACTTAGTAAGCTTGAGTGAGGCCCTAGATTCAGAATTTTTAACAAGTTTCCAGGATATATTAAGGCTGCTGGTCTGGAGATGCTATTGCAAAAACCTCACACTGGTACAGGAAGTTATTTCTTGCAGGTGTATGGGGCAAGGTGGTGGTGAAGTTCAGAATCAGATGAATCCAATAAGAAGAAGACCAAATTACTGAAGTAGAAGAAACTAGCAGAAACAAAAGTTTCTAAAGAAGCAAGTGCACAAGACTTTAAGACTCTCTGGATGTGGGAGACCTGCATGTGACAAAGAGAATCACATTTATCTAATACGACTGATTAAAAGGATAGTAATTCTGTTATTTGAGACTGGGGAGAAAAAGTGGGAGGAGAAGAAGGTTTGTGTGTAGGAAAATGGCCATGAGTTAGTTTAGAAAGGTTGTGTTTGAGAGACCAGTGGAATATTGCACAGAATATTACCAGATGTAATTCATAGGTTTGGAGTTGAGAGTGAGCAAGAGATAGATAGATAGATGATAGATAGATGAGAGAGAGAGAAAGAGAGAGAGAGAGAGAGAGAGAGAGAAGAATTAAACCCATAAGTGTAGATGCCAGAGGCATGAAACTAATTAATAAAATGGCAGTTACTGGGATGGAATATAGACACAGAGGAAGTGACTGCTGAAGACAAAGCCCTAAGATGCAGAATGAGGAGCAAAGAACGAGGAGGTCCGGAGGTAGTGGGAAAACAAGAACAAGATATCCCGGAAGGCATGGACTTAAGAATAGGGTGGTCAGCTGTTATGCCTGATAAGCAAATGGGAGGTAGGTAAGGTCAGAGGGAAGGCCGCTGTATTTGCCTGTTCACAAGTCATCCATGACCTTTGGAAGATCAGACCGGGGACAACTGGGAGGGTGTACTTAGACGGCCAAAGATGAAACATCAGCGGAAGGTGAGAAGCGGAGGCAGACGAGTGGGTTAATAATCAGAGACTGAAGTGAGAGAGGGAGAGAGGAGGTAGAAGCTTGGTGGGAAGCGCCACCATAGGAAACTGATATTAGCGTCCAAGACATGTGAGCAAAGTAATAAGTGAGATTAGAGAAGTGCTGGGGGAGGGGATAGAAGCGAGCTTGCAGAGGAGCTGAGAGGGTACAGATTTACAGGATGAACACAGGTGGAGAGCAGCCAAATCCGTCTTCTCAGTACACGAAGAAGAGTGGAGAGTTTGGGAGAGGCTCTGGGTGAGAGGTGACGGGCAGAGCTTAGGACAGTCACTCAGCTGGGAGTATACAAAAATTTCCGCATATCAGTCCTCCTGTTCCCATTCTTTAGTTTGTCATGGTGAGCTCCTCTACGGACTTGAACAGTCACTCTAGGTCAGGAGAGGCTGAGTCAGACCACTCTCTGTGGCCTCATGTCTCACCTGCATTCTCTGGGTCTCAGGATGCAGCCTGGCATGCAAGCCCCAGGAATGCCAGGAGACACCCATTTCCTGATCTTTTCTCTAAACAGATTTTCAGATTTTTATTTATTTCCAAATATGTGACTGGTGATTTAGTGAGTAATATTCTCCATTGAAATTCATTTGGTTACTGCATTAAACTTCTCACGAAAGCATGCCAAATGTTAAATTACCACCTGAATCCTGCCAGGGTGAGAGCCTATGGGATGTGTTTTGGATACATGAGGCCCAATGTGTCTGTTAGCAACATAATAACGAAAGTAGATTTCAACGATTTCTTATTTGCTTATGTTTCATACTCATAGTAAAAGACTTGGGGAAGTGACAGTGCCTTCACTGTAGATTCCTTTTAAAGAAACAGGAAATTGGGGCTGGAGATTTAGCTCAGCGGCACAGACCCTGCCTGGCAAGCGTGACGTCGTGAGTTCGATTCCCGGTACAGGAAAAAACAAACAAACAAACAAACAAAAAAAATAGGAAGCTTAATTGTAAAAAGCACTACTATTTGCTTGGAAAGAATAGGCTACGTAGTCACAATGCTAGAGGAACAGATTTGAGTGTATATCTTCAAGCTGAGATGATAGGATATCACTTTTGTTTTATTCTCTATGAAGCCATGCAATTTCCAGGGGAGTATGTGTGCATATAGAGCCATAACCTCAGATCTGAAGGCAAGTTATCAGATATTTGATTTATAAGCAATAAGAAATTCTATAAATAAAGATTGGGGGGGCATTATTTAATTAAAGGGTTAGCTGAAATAGCTAGAAAAAAACATAAAAATATTTATTGTATCACTTTATTATCATTTCTATGTATTTTCTGTTTTTTATATGATAATATTTATTTGAAATTATGTACCACAAATAAGACCAGAGGTAGAAAACAATACACCAAATAACAAACTTCAAACAAAAAAGAACACAACAAAGAAATAAACAGATTTCACATACTTACAAACTCTCCTGAACCAAATATGTTCAAGGATTAATACATTGCATCCCTTACCCCCATGTACTGCAGAGGCTGTGATAAAAGTCATGCCTTTTGGCTTTTTACAAACTAAGTATGCTCTCAGCATCTAATGAGCCCTTTAAAGGCCAGCTTAAAGTCTTCATTAAAACTTGTGTACAGCAGTGGGTTGATCAGAGAATTAACATAACCGAGCCATGTCAAAAAATCACTCACTTCAGAGGACACAGTGTAAATGCTCAGACCTACAATTAACTCTTTGATAAAAAACGGAAGCCAGCACAAAATGAAGGCACCCAAAATCAGTCCGAGGATGCGTGCTGCCTTGCGTTCCCTGGAACTGGAGATTTGCTGGCGTTCTCCAAGGTGATCAAGGTCATTGTCAAAGGTAGGGACCCGGATGGCAGTATGGATCTTTTCAAACTCTGTGGTAGGATCTGAAGTGGAGAAATCAGACACACAGAAAGTCTGTGTGAGTTTACAACTTGCGAAAGAATTCTGGCTATCTGTACTTCTGTTGCTTAGATGGCGGCTTGATCCTCTTTTCTGGTAAAGACTCTTGGCTGCATGGTAAATCCGATAATAGAGGATCAGGATCAAAGTCAAAGGGATGTAAAATGCCCCAAATGTTGAGTAAATGGTGTACATGACATGGTCATGCTGGATGGTACACTGGCTAGGGGGCGGGCTGAGTTGGCGGTGGTTCCTCCAGGTCAAAGGGGGCATGGAGATGAACACAGAGATAGTCCAGACAGTGAAGACCATCATGCCAGCCCTCGTGGCTGTCCGCTTCCTGGCATATTCCACAGCATTAGTGATGGCCCAGTACCTGTCCAGCGCGATCACACAGAGATGGAGGATAGAGCAGGTGCAGCAGGTCATATCCACACTCAGCCACACCTCACAAATGAAGTACCCGAGCCTCCAGCTGTCCATGACAATGTACATGATGCTCAGGGGCATGACGAGCACTGCCACCAGGAGGTCAGTCACTGCCAGAGAGCAGATCAGGTAGTTGGCAGGCTGATGGAGCTTCTTGGTGGTGTAGATGGCCAGGATTACAGCAGAGTTCAGCAACATGGTTAGCGTGGTGATTGTCACCAGGGTCATGCAGATAAGCGTCTTCTCAGTCGTGGTTTTGGGCCTGACAAGCACACTGGCTTCTGTGGTGCAGTTCGTGAGGTTCATGTTTCTCTGATTCCAATCTACACTGTGGAGAAGCTGTTAGTTATTTCCCTTCTGTGGGAAGCTGTGTGTGCTTCAATGTCTCTCATTTGTGAGGAGGCTGTAATTTCTTCATCTACTTAGTCTCTTGTGTCCCATTTTTTGTTAGTAAAGGAAAAGGCCACAACAGTTCTTCTGAATGGGGAGTTCCTGGAAAATATTATGGTACTGGTTAATGAATGGAAAAGGCATATTTTCCTGGAAAACATGATTGTATTTTGACATTCATAAAATATCATGCATTTTAGATATAACTTTATTTTCCTCTCTGCAATTTGAATTCATCTTTACATTATTTCTTAAAGGATACTTTTCTTGAGTTAAGTTCCCAAACTCCTTCTGATGAAGGCATTCCCAAATTTTAAGTCTATTTTGCCACTTGAGTTAATTTCATATCTATAATTTCATATTTATTTTATATACAATTATATGTATGTTCATAGTTATTTATATATACATTATTTACATGCAAAAAACCTTTTATATTAGAAAACACATGCTCACATTATATGCCTTTAAAAGTTCTGGTACCATTACATTAAAGAGAAAAAACTATAGTGCTTATCAATGAGCAGTGAATATTTAAACTTTCACAGGGAATATTCAAATCCAAAGATTATTAGTATGACAAAGGGATTATACAATTTCATCTAATTACTTTTGACATTTTACATATGCCACTGTGCATTTCTTTGGAGAACAGAGATAAAAGCATATAATATCCCTTGATGTTGGTAGCAAATTGTTCTTGGTGTAAAACAGCACCATCACCGAGCTCAATTATTGGAGCTGCAGTGTAGCTCAGTTGTCAAATGCTTGCCTTGCATGTGCAAGGTCATGGGTTTGATCTCAGTACTGCAAAAACAAGCAAACAAACTTGAATTCCTTTTGAGAAGGTGGGTAGAGAAAAGGTAGTCAGATATGATCCATGTATACTACATGCATGTATGGAAACATATTAAACTTCAAAGAATGCATTATTAATATGTGTTTAAGATAATTGCAAAATGTGTATAGGATGAAAATTTAAAAGTGTTTAGTATCAGTTAACATTGGAGTTATATGTTTGTATGTATGTACGTATCTATCTTCCTATGTATCTATGTATCTGTATCTATGTATCTATCTATCTATCAATCTACCTATCTATCTCTCAGACAGCTGGATAAATCTGATCAGTTAGTAAGATAGTGACTTTTTTAAAGAAGGGTAATAACCAGCCAAATGTAGTGGCACTCACTTTGTAATCCCAGCACTTGGGAGGCGAGGCAAGAGAATCACTGTGAGTTCAAGGCCAGCCTGGACTGCATGGTGAGACCATGTTTCAAAAAATAAATAAATAAACAAAGAAAGAAAGAAAGAAAGAAAAAAAGAAAGAGGGAAAGGTAATGATCAAATGTACATGTACATTCATGAGAATCAGGCAACCAAAATCTACCTGGGAATATAAGAAGCTAATGGTTGGTAGAAAGAAGGCTGATCATATTCTCTGACTTGACTGCCTGGGATTGAGTCCAATAAGATTTCAAATAAAAACTGGGTATTTTATCAGTTTTATGAAGTGACATAGATTGGTATGCCTTGGATTTAGCAGATACAATAATTTTAGCAAAAGATGGGCGCAGGAGCTGCGAGGTATGTGTAAAACAGGGAGAGAATAGGAGTGTGAGGCTTTGAATGGATTTGTGACTAGAAGTGAGGAAGCAGGAATAAGAATCTCCAGTCTGTGGGTGAGATTTAGCCATTGATACAGTTTCTTCTGTTCACCAAGCAAAAAGCAAGAGGAGAGGGAGATGGGGGTCATTGTCTTTCAGATACAGGAAATAAAGTAACAGTGATTTAATTGAATACCACAAAGGGGACAATTGTTCTGAAACATTCTGTATCTTTCTGTGAATAAATGATATTCTTTCTGCCTGAATTTTCCATTATCTTTCTGTATTTCTGTGGATGCAACCTACTTCTGGATGTTTCTGTAGTTCTTCCGTAGAGCTCGTTCTACCAACAATGCCCTCTTTCTTGCAGACTGAATATTTTCTTCCATTATGCTATCACTGAAAGAGAATGGGCCTTGGGATCAGATGAACCTGGCCTCTGACTCCAGAGAGACTACAGACTACATGCTTGGGTCAACCTCTCTTCATTGTCCTGTGTTCCAACGATTTATGTCTTCATTGGGATCACCATCTCTTTAGTAAAATGAAATAAGTTAGTTTTCTTTATGAATGTATTAACCTTTGCTTATGTTTTCTTGGGTTCTTAAGTTTGCTGGGTGAAGTGGTTCTTAGTAAAAAGGCTTTCTCATTATAATGGTAAGACTGAGAGAACTGAGAGAAGCGTGGGTAAAGGATGGAAAATTGTAGATATTTTGCTTTATAGTGAGGCAATTAGGAACTGTAGTTATTTTAAAAGCATGACATAAAGACCATCAGAAATAATTTAGCTAAATTGTTCTCTTTACTTAGATCCCCCTAACTCTCTGTCTGGCTTGCTAGATCCTTTGTACCTCCCAACCTTTCACCAAGATCTCAGGACCCAGAGCTCAGATCTGTCTAATGTCTAATTGCTCCACAGTGAGGTCTTCCTGGACCTACTCTTACCTAGCCATTATGTGTTGCTGTGGACCAAACTTCAAGACAGTGTTAAATGAAAAATATAAAAGATGGCAAGCTGGATATGTGCAGGCTTTTGTGGTGACTGAAAATACAAAGACAAGAAATTTAATTCCTACTCTGAAAGATACATGCACAAAATAAACATTAAAGATATGAGAATGTAGCTCCTCAGACTGTAATATTTTTGAGAATTTAACTAGATATGAGTTACCAGAAATGTAGACCATGCTAGGGGTTGTGAAAATTACAAAATAAGGAAGAAAATGATGTCATCAGAGAAATGATTAGGAGTTAGGGGAAGCAGAAGAGAAGGGTGAGAGTCACTTTATTTTAAAACCATATGATGAAGGCCTATACAGCAAGACAGATCAACTGTGTGATACTTTTTGTCAAGCAAGCATGGTGGCAATAGATATTGTGACATGGGAAGAAAATGCTCAAAAGAAAGGAGTAACTGGAATGGGGGAAAGGAGAAAAGGAAGGGGAAAGGAAAAAAAAATATGTATATACACACACACATAAATGATAGTTAAGATAAATATACTACTAATTGCTATTAGCTCATTGAAAGGAAAGGTATATGTCTGTACTGCTTGATCCTTTTTTTCATACCTATATCTTATATTATGAGCAACTACTTTAAAGATAACAATACACAAAGTACTGAACTTTGTTGCTCTCCTACAATCTTGTTTTGAAATTTTATATAATTGTTTTTATGATATTTCTTTTCTTTAATATAAAAAAATACAACATGAGCACCAATAATTCAGAATATGCAACTGACCAATCAGAATGGGAATTGGCTCTAACAATCTATAAGGCTTTATCTGTACATTTTGGCTGAATGTCTGTCTCTTTTTGTCATACAGCTGAAGGCTAATGAAAATGTGTTAGTGTTTCAAAGGTTATGACTACGGAAAACTTACAAAGGTAAGCCTCATATCCACTTTGGTGTACTATCCTTTACCACAATCCTTTCAGATGTTATGGACTTCTGACTTAGTTTCCTATACACTCAATGTTATTTGCTGAGTATATAAAAAAATCACGCATGGTGGGAACTTGAGCATTGGACTGGGCAATATAACGGCATCAGTGATCTTCACTAGAGCAGTTTGGTGAAGTGATAGAGATGAAAGGCTGAATGTAGTCGTTTAAAGAAAGAATGGGAAAAAGGGAGATAGTGAATAAGGATACTTCAAGAGTTTTGCTGAAAAGAGGACACAAATAAGGTAGCAGCTGTGTGGGGAGGGGATATGGGGCAAAGGCTGTTTTTTATTAAGATTATGTTTTATAATTCAGCTGTTCACAGTTTTCCCTACTGCTGTTCTGGACAGCCTTTCTACTGAGATACAGAGCATTTTGGGAACAAGTGAAAAGCAATCGAGGAAGAACAAAAAGGCACTAAAGAAGGAAGCCAGTGAAAGGGGGGGGTCCGTGGGGTCTGTAGGAACCAGGTAAATATAGAGCTTCTTAGGCACTTTAGGTGGTTTCAGGGACGGTAAAAGGATCAAAGATAGCAGGCACATTCAGGAAATGATCTGTCTCAATTATCTTGGGTTCCTTTGCCTTCTTAAGAAATAACAATGGTTTTTATAGCCACTATGAACTCCTTAGTAGTAGTATGATTTCTAATTAGAAAAGTGCTGGTTAAATAGTGTCTAAACTCTCCAAAGTCTCTTTTGCTTTTTACATAGTGGTGGGGAAGGGAATATAAGATTTGAAGCAAAACATGTTCTGCAGAACAGATCTAACTGCTAATATCAACAGACTAAGCATTTATTCATCTACTGGAGTAGAAAATTAACTGCAATGATAATAATAACTAAAAATAAAAACATTCTACTCAAGAGCTGATGCAGGGACTTTATGGGGCTTTGTAACTTTCAGATTGTGATTCAATTATGGATTGGGAAATTCCAGTGCACTCTATCAGCCCATCCAAATGGTTTTTCATTAAAATTATGAACAGGAGAGAACCATTCTAAACTAAATTAATCAGCGTATACCATTTCCTACTTACAGGCATACTCCAGAACCACTGATTTATACTATGCCAGTGAAGGTCAGAAAACCAGGGAGATCAAATCATATGAACACTAGATATTAAGTAGACATTGTTATGCTATTCTTCTTGGACGTCATTCTTTGCAGGTAGAAGGAGAGGAACAAGAATATCTTCCTCACCCAGGAGGACTTTCCAAAGCATCTAGTGTTACGTAGAAGGATAAATTAGCTAGTATCTGCTCATCTTAAAGTTCTTAGAGAAGACTATATTTTGGATCAAGTACTTCCATTAGAAAAAGAAATTCACTTTGTAGATTCTGCTTTACTTCATCCTAAAAAGTGTACCAAATTCAGAAGTTTGGGAGAGGAAGCTATAGGTTGTGGGCACATGCCTGGACTCTGAAACAGACTTTACCACTCCTCAGCTCCAGTGTAACCTCAAGTAAGGTCTTTAACCTTTGCCTACTTCCTTAGTGAATTTTCTCCTCTTTAAGTAGGGATTAATGATGCATTCCTCACCAGGTT